GGTCTGAACTTTCCAGATGTGAAAGTCAGTTTCTGCTGACCTACTGAAACCAATGAGCTGTCACATAGGCTATATTTGTTGGTTACTTGGAGCTCTTTGGTTTGTCCCAGTGGAAAGTCAGTAAGTTTTTTTTTTTTTTCCTACCCAAGAAAAGTAAAGATCTTATCTATAAAAAGTTTACCTTTCTTTCTTGAATAGAAAATTGGCCAGTTCACTCCATATTGTTACTAACTGTTCCAAGGACATTTCTGTTTCTGTTGACCTTTGAAAGATTGTCCTAACAAAGTATTCTGCCTTCCTGTCAGGAAACACTCTTGCTGCCGTTGGCACTGTCACTTTATGGAGTGGATTGGAATATGGTTATTTGGGGGGACTTTTTTTTTGGCTGTGCCACGCGTCTTACAGGATCTTATTTCCCCAACCAGGGATCAAACCCGTGCCCCCTGCAGTGGAAGCATGGGAGTCCTAATCACTGGACAGCTAGGGAATTCCCTGGGTGTGTGTGGGGGGGCTTTTTTTTTTAATCTTTCTGAAGTATAAAACGTATCAGTCAAGTACCAAATCTTAAGTGTCCTGCTTGATGAATGTTTGCAAAAAGTGAACACATCCATGTTAACTGCCACTCATCAAAATTACCAGAAAACTCTTTCAGGTACCATCCTCGTCATTCCCCTCCACAAAAGTAATCACTCTTCTGACTTCTATCATCAAGATTAGCACGCTCGTCCTGTTTTTGAACATTGTGTAAATGGAATCATACCGTATGTGTTCTTTTGTGTCTGCCTTCCTTCACTCAGTATTACGACTATAAGATTGATCTACATTGCTGCATATGGAAATAGTTTATTCTTTCATTACTGTATAGTATTCCATTGCATGAATATAGCACAATTTACTTACATATTCTACTGCTGATAGTCTACTACTGTTTCAAGTTTTGGCCTATTTTCAGTAAAGCTGCTAGGAACATTCTTATTCCTGTCTTCAGGTAAACATAACCACTTGTTTCTGTTCCATATTAAGCCAAGAGTGAAATTGCTGGAGCATGACATACATATACACATATATGTATACATGTATACATATATACATATATATGTTCAGCTTTAATAATTACTGCCAAACATATTCCAGAGTGTTTGTGCCAATTAATACTCCCATCAACAACTATGAGAGGTGTTCAAATCACTCTGTATCCTTGTCAATATTTACTATTTTCAACTTTTAAATTTTAGCCATTCTAGTGGGTATAGTATATCGTGGTTTTAATTTGCTTTTCCCTCATCACTGATAGTGTTGATCTCCTTTTTAGGGTTACTAGTCATTTAGATATATTCTTCTGTGAAGTGCCTCCTCAAGTCTTTTTTTCTACTGATTTGTACAAGTACTTTATATATTTTGGATACAGTTTTTTTGTTAGATATATGTATAGTAAATAAATTCTCCCAATATGTGGCTTGCCTTTTGACTCTATTAATGGTGTCTTTTAATGAAAAGATATTAATTTTAATAAAATGCAATTTATCAATCTTTTTATGATTGGTTATTTTTATGACTTTTATTTTTCCCAGGGAGGTGGTTGATACAGGGAGCATTAGGCTTGATGGAGCCATGTGGAACACTACCAAATCCACATTTACCCACGTACCAGATGTCGTTTAAAATTTCAGGCATAGGCTTTGAGGATCTATTGGATGTGCACAGGGGAGCATGAAAATATTCTTATATTTTCTACTAAAAGCTTTATTGTTTTACCTGCCATATTTAGGTCTCTGATTCACTTTGAGTTGATTTTTGTGTATGGTATGAGGCAAGAGTCAATGTTCATTTTTTCCCAGATATACAATTGCCTCAGCATCATTTATTATTAAAAAAGACCATGCCCGCCCCCCCACTGAATTATAGGGGCATCTTTGCAGAAGTCAAGAGACTGTAAATGTGTGGCTTTGTTTCTGGACTCTTTATTCTGTTCCACCAGACTAATTCTTCATCTTTGGGCCTGTAGTGCACTGTCTTAATTACTGAAATGTTATATTAAGTCTTGCAGTTTGGTAGTGTTAAGGTCTCCAGTTTGTTGTTTTACTTCAAGATTGTTTTGGCTATCCTAGGTCTTCTGCCTAGGTTATAAATTTCCATAATAATGTTACAAAAAACTTGTTAACGTCTACAAGAAAATGCTGACATTTTGATTTGGATTGCACTGAATCTATAGATCAAGTTGGGAAGAACAGACATCTTAACTCTTCTGAATCTTCCACTTCATGATAATGGTGTATCTCTCTGTTTATTCCATTTATTTAAGTTTTCTTTAATTTCTCTCAACAATGTTTTGAAGTCTTCAGCATAGAAATTTTGCTTATATTTCATTGCATGAATTCCTTGATATTTGATGTTATTGATTCTATTATATTTTATTTTTCCCAATTGTTTGTTGCTAGTATAAAGAAATACATTGGATCTTTATTGACCTTGTACTCTGTGACCTTGCTAAATTCACTTGTAAATTCTAGTAGTTTGTAGATTATTTTGGATTATCTACATACAAAACCTTGACATCTCTAAGACAATTTGCTTCTTTCTTCTAATCTCTATGCTTTTAATTCCTTTTTCTTGCCTGGTTAGAACACTCCAGTTCTAGTCAACACTGTTGAATAGAAGTGTGATGGTGAATATATGTCTTGTTCCTGACCTCAATGGGAAAATATTTAATATTTCACTATTAAGTGCAGTGTCACAACCAGGGTATTGATATTGATATAATCCATTGATCTCATTAGGTTTCCACTCTGATTACTGAATATTAAACCAACCTTGCATTCTTTATTCATGAAATATTATATATTATAATATTGCTAGATTCAATAAGCTAATAGTTTGTGAATGATTTTGCATCTATCTTCATGAGAAATACTGGCCTTTAATTTTCTTTTCCTGTAATGATGTTGCCAGGTTTTGGTATTAGAATAATATTGACCTCATAGAATAATTTGGAAGTGTTTCTTTTTTCTCTATTCTCTGAAAGAGTTTGTATATATTTGGTATTGTATCTTTTTGAAATGTTTGGAAAAATTCACCAGTGAAGCAAGCCAGCTGGCTTCTTAAATTTTTTAAATGCAGATTGGATTTTTAAAAACATATCTAGGCCTAAATCAGAATTTTTATTTCCTCCTGTTTTGTAGAAATATTTTTCAAGAAATGTTTCCATTTCATCTAAATTGTCAAATTTATGGGGAAAGATTTTTTCTGCTTAATTTCCTTTTATCCTTTTAATAATGTCTGTAATTCTGTAGTGATGTCTCTTTTTCATTTATTTCCTCTCTTTTTTGATTAGTCTTACTATGGGTTATCAATTTTAATTAACCCTTCAAGGAACCAGCTTTTGACTTTGTTGATTTTCTCTTTTATATGTCAACTTTCTATTTAATTAATTTCTGCTCTTTATTTCCTTTCTTTTACTTTCTTTGGGTTTATTTTTGCTGCTTTTTTTAGATTCCTGAGTTGAAAGCTTAGATGATTGAATTTTCAAACTTTCTTCTTTTTAATACATGAAAGGTTATAAATTTCCCTTTAAACATCACTTTAGCTGGTTCCCACAAGTTTTGATGTCATATTTTTCATTATAATTCAGAGTATTTTTTCCTTGTGATTTCTCCTTTCACACATAGGCTTTTCCGAAGTATCTTGCTTACTTGAAAATTACAGCTTTGTTGTTGTTGTTGTTGTTGTTTTTAGTTATTTTCTGCTGTGGTCAGAGAATCGTTCCATGCATTTCAACATTTTGAATATTTGTTGTCACTTACGTTATGGCCCAGGATATAGTCTATTTTTGTAAATATTTTATGTACACTTGAAAAGTATGTGTAGTCTACAGTTGTTTAACTTTTTATATCCTTAATGATTGGGGTTTTGTTTTGTTTTGTAGTCAGTTATTGAGAGAGGTGTGGTAAGACCTTCAAGTCTGATGGTGAATTTGTTTCTGCCTTTTTTCTTTTTTTATTGTGGTAAAATATACATAAGGTTTACCATATTGCTTTTAAGTTTGGTAAATTTTGTTTTATATATTTTGAGATTATGTTATTATTTAGAATTGTTATATCATCCTGATGAATTAATCTGCTTATTATTGTGACATATATTTCTTCATTTTCTCTTTATTTTCTTAACACTTCTTACCTTAAAGTCTACTTTGTTGAATAGTTTGGTCACACCAGCTTCCTTCTGGTTAATGTTTGCATGGTGTATTTACTTTCAATCTATCTGTGGCCTTATATTTAAAAGGTATTTCAAAAAAAAAAGAAAAGAAAAGGCATTTCTTGTAAAAAGCTTTATAAGTAGAACTAGCTTTAAAATGGAAAGCTGATGCCAAATTCAGGCACAGTCAGAGTGTCCTTGGCTTGTGGTACCAATAAGAGGGAAGGAGTAATGACCTTGGGTAGAGACTCAGCAGTTTAGACTTGATATAGCTGATGGGAGACGGACCTCCCTATTGATGGAATATTTTTGTAAAAGAAATTACCACCCTCAAATTTGTTTCTAAAATGTTTTATTTTCATTATAGTGTTAGGTTAAAGAAGAGTAGACTTGAATTGTGGACTGGCTATCTATCATTCAGCACCCTCAGAGGGAAAGATGTGTAGTCAGTGCTATGCAAACCTCTAAATTTTCTCAGAAAATTCCTAATTGAACTATTTCAGATTGGCATCCAAGATTGATCAGTAAATTTTTAAGTGGTAAGCAACCTCAGAGACCATCTTGGCCCACTGTCATGCTCCTGTATACTTGAATGTGGAAATATAAAGTGTACTTTCATTTTTGTCACTCAGGCCACGCAAGTAAATGAATAGCTGAATACTAAGATCTTTGATTTTAAATGTAATTATGACCTTTAGAAATGACAACTGCTTTAAAAATGGACCAAAGAGTAAATAAAATGGGCGACTGATAGACCTCAGTTCCCAAAGGAAATGTATAAGTTGTTTTTTACTTTGCAGATTTCAGTCTTAGAGAAGAGACTTCATCATTTTATATGTGATGTGGCTTTCCGGGCCCCTGGCATCATCATAGAATTTGACTGGAGTCTCCTCCTCTTGGACATGGACGGGCATTTTCTTGCTCTCCACAGTCATGAGCTTCATTTCCAGAGGGCCCAAGTTTACATAATCCTGTGGTGAACAGACACAGAGGAGAATAGGAGAGGTTATTCAGCAAGTTACCAGCCTTCATAGATCAGGTTTTATTTACTGTAGTTGGCCTCTGTATGACAGATTTCATTGCCCTCCTAATTGTCTGAATGCTGTATGACATGTGAAATATGAGAGCTACTGTCAATAAAAACCACTCAGTAAAGTTATATACCCAGTGGGGGCATGGTAGGCAAATCTCCCAAAGAGCAGGCAGCAAGGCTTTCAGGCTTGTCTTTTGGGGGCTTCAGCCGGGTAGGGAACATCAACTGCAGCGGGGAGATATATTCTCTGCAAGCTCTTTAATTGGTAAAAGGAAGTAGGAAGTATTGGCTGCATTTATATAGCCCTCTGCTGGCCAGGATATAACCACAGCAGAGTTTTCTATATTATTTTAAGAACAAAATGAATGATCTGCAAACATCTTTGACGATAAATTTTTTTTTTAATATATTTATTTATTTTTATTTTTGGCGGTGTTGGGTCTTCATTTCTGTGCGAGGGCTTTCTCTAGTTGCGGTGAGCGGGGCCCACTCTTCATCGCGGTGCGAGGGCCTCTCACTATCGCGGCCTCTCTTGTTGCAGAGGACAGGCTCCAGACGCGCAGGCTCAGTAGTTGTGGCTCACGGGCCCAGTTGCTCCGTGGCATGTGGGATCTTCCCAGACCAGGGCTCGAACCCGTGTCCCCTGCATTGGCAGGCAGATTCTCAACCACTGCACCACCAGGGAAGCCCGACGATAAATATCTTAATATTGAGCAGATCTACATGGGTTTTGCACATTTCACAGGATCTACTGTAGATATAAAACTTACCACATTCTGTCAAACTGAATATAGTTTCAGATATCAACAAACAGAATTAGAAGTCTAATTTATATGAAATCCCACAGCTAACCCCAAACTGACTTGAAACAGCTCCAGCCCTACCCAATGGGCCTTCCTCTTGGAAGCCCCTCCAAGCTGTAACTCCTTCTTTTGGATTCCTTCAACACTTCAACAAACCTTTCCTGAGTGCCCACTATGTGCCAGGCTGTGTACCAAGTGCTGGGGCAAAAGACTGGTCAGGGAGACAGATACAGGTAGTACATTCCTCCTGTACAGTAATCAATGATTTTCTTATCAGTTTTCTACTAGCATGTACACTATTTAGGGTAGGGCCTGCCACGTAGGCGTCTTTGAGACTTCATTTCTTCCTGTTCTCCCCCTTAAATTCTCAAGCATCTGACAAGTACCTGGCATGTTGTGAGGGTCTCAGTAAACATTTATTAGAATTTAGGAGAGTCAAAGAATGAAAAAGGAAGGCAATGTTTTATTAATATTTCTCAAAAATTCATATAACTGTATGTAGCTTTTAAAATACATAATTGCAGAGCTACAATAAATGCGAGATAGGAGAAAAGTAAATTGATGGAAGTCTACCATGTATTTCCGAACCATCTGGAGCAGGATTCTGAAGTAATAGACTCTCTTAGTCTGCTTGAACTGCCATAGCAAATACCACAGGCTGAGTGGCTGAAACGACAGAACTTTATTTCTCACAGTTCTGGAGGCTGGGAAGTCCAGCGTTAGGATGCCAGCATGGTTGGGTTCTGGTGAGAGCCTCTTCCTGGCTGGCAGATGGCTGCCTTCTCACAGCGTTCTCACAAGGCAAAGCCTCTTCTTATAAGGCCACAGTCCTATCAGATGAGGGCCCATCTTCATGACCTCATATAACCTTAATTAACTCCTAAAGCCTGTATCTCCAGCTACAGTCATATTGTGTGTTAGGGCTTCAACATGTGAATTTGCGGGAGGGGTGGGGACAAAATTCAGTCTGTAGCACATACAATACCATTTCCACCACATCAAAAACTTCCGTGGAAAATAAGGTCTTAGAAGAGAATGTAGGCAAAACATTCTCTGACATAAATCATACCAGTGTTTCCTTAGGTCAGTCTCCTACGGCAATAGAAATCAAAGTGAAAATAAACAAATGGGACTTAAACTTACAAGCTTCTGCACAGCAAAGGAAATCATAAACAAAAGGAAAAGATGACCTACAGAATGGGAGAAAATATTTGCAAATGACACAGCCAACAAGGGCTTAATTTCCAAAATGTACAAACAGCTCATACAAGTCAACAACAAAAAAACAAACAACCCAATCAAAAAGCGGGCCTAAAGAGACATTTCTTCCAAGAAGAAATACAGATGGCCAATAGGCATGTGAAAAGACGCTCAACAACGCTAATTATTAGAGAAATGCAAATCAAAACTACAATGGGTTACCACCTCACGCTGGTCAGAATGGCCATCATCAAAATGTCTGCAAATAACAAATGCTGGGGAGGGTGTGGAGAAAAGGGAACCCTCCTGCACGGTTTGTGGGAATGTAAGTTGGTGCAGCCACTATGGAAAACAGTATGGAGGTTCCTCAGAAAACTAAAAATAGAATTACCATATAATCCAGCAATCCCACTCCTGGGCGTATATCCAGACGAAACTATAATTCAAAAAGATACATGCATCCCTATGTTCATAGCAGCACTATTCACAATAGCCAAGACATAGAAAAAGCCTAAATGTTCATCAACAGATGAATGGTTAAAGAAGATGTGGTACATATATACAATGGAATACTGCTCAGCCATAAAAAAAGAATGAAATAATGCCATTTGCAGCAACATGGATGCAACTACAGATTATCGTACTAAGTAAAGTAAGTCAGAGAAAGACAAATACCATATGATATCACGTGTGGAATCTAAAATATGACACAAATGAACCTATCTATGAAACAGAAAATCAGGGACATAGAGAATAGACTGGTGGTTTGCCAAGGGGGAGAGGGGGTGGGAGAAGGGAGGAGTGGGAGTTTGGGGTCAGCAGATGCAAACTGGTATACAGAGAATGGATAAACAACAAGGTCCTCCTGTATAGCAAAGGGAACTATATTCAATATCCTGCGATAAACCATAATGGAAAAGAACGTGAAGAAGAAGAATGTATGTATACATATACATGTATAACTGAGTCACTTTGCTGTACAGCAGTAATTACCACAACATTTTAAGTCAACTTAAAAAGAAATTTAAATAAATAAACTCAACGGATAAAAACAAAAAAATTAAAAGTAAGAAGGTTTTTCATTCAACCAAATGGTGTGCAAGTTTGGAATTTTATACAGTTAGTTGTCCACTAGCATGAGGTTATTGTAACATACAAGGCATCATGATTCCAAGATACTCATGGGGGTGTTTGAGTGTTATAGAGACTAGAGCTTTAGTCTAAATTATCACTTGATGGTAGCAGGACTGAGTTGTAGTTAGTTAAAATGGTTTTTGTTGATTTATTCAGCTTCTATTGCTTTCTTAATCACTCTTTCTCCTACCAGACTTTTAAGTTCGAGGAGAACTTTCAAGGCTATTGGTAGTACCAAGAGGGAAAACAGCAAGGGGTGGATGTGAAAGTGACTGGAATGTACCAAACGGTTTTAAAACTAAAAGGCTTGATAATCTAGGTTTCACCTAATGGTATATGTGACTGTTTGTACTTTCCAAAGATGGTCATGCTAATATACATCCTATCCCACATGCTTTTCTTACAATATGATGCTGACCTTCCTCTTTCAAGATGCAGGAGCTACACTGTTTCTCTTTGGTTGGAACTTTGTAGCTACATCAACAAATAGAATATGATGGAAGTGTTGGTGTACGATTTCCAAGGCTAAGTCATATGAAACATTTGGTCTCTGGGACTGATTGCTTTGGAAGAAGCCAGATACTGTAACAAAGGGACAACAAAGGTGCCCTGTAAGGAGGCCCATGTGAAGAACTGAGGCCCCCGGCTTAGCCAGCATCAACTTGCCAGCCATGTGAGTGAGCCACCTTGGAAGTGGATCTCTCTGCCCAAATCAAGCCTTCAGCCAAATATAACTGCACCTTCTAGAGAACCCAAGTGAGGACTGTCCACTGGAGACCTTCCCAAATTTCTAACCAACAGAAGCCCTGAAAGAGAATAAATGATTTATTGTTATAAGCCACTAATTCTTGAGGTAATTTATGTAGCACTAGATAACTTACATGGTATACTAGTAATGGATGTCTATAAATGAATATATGTAGTAAGTTGGGCAAGGGTAGGAGTGAAAATAGTATCTAGTGACAGACATGAATGGTTGGCAAATTTTACTAATAATTGCAAATAGAATTTTTCAGCAACCATACTTCCGGTTAATTTTCTCCAGTAACTAATAAAGCAACATTTTCTCTAGTAGTCAAATGTCTTCTCATGAATCTTACCGTGAAATCCCACTCATCCTCATATAGTAAGTATTTCATATCAGAGGCTCCAAACTCTATACTTGAACTCTCTTCATCTATCTTCAGATGCTGGCCGTATCTGCTGCTATCCTCATGACTAAGATGTAAGGCACCGCTCCCAAGTGATAAGCTCAACAAGTCTCTACTTTTTACTTCTGCAGGTTGCAGTTGTGACTTTTCTGGGATGAGTGCAAAGAAATTATGTACAATTTTTGAACAGATTAAAAATAAAAATACAATACATTGTCACATTTTTTTTTTCAGTTTTAGTTTTTTTTTGAATTGAAATATGGTTGCTTTACAATGTTGTGTTAGTTTCTGGTGTACAGCAAAGTGATTCGGATATATATATATATATATATATATATATATATATACACTCCTTTGTCACATTTTAAATTTGAAAGACCTTTGAGAATCTCCTGGAGGAGAAAAATTTGAGAATTAGAAATGTAGAATCTAGGTATTAAAGTGAGAGTGAGTCCTATTATTAGAAACCACATCTAGGTTATATTTCCTTCTGTTAGCTAATAAGTTATAATCACATGGGGACCTGTGAGTGTGTTGGTATTTTGGTTGGTTGGCTAAATTGGAGCACAAACCATGCCAGTGTAGACATCATTCCATCCCTCTCTACCAGTGTCTATTTAATTCACTGTGACACATGGTGACTTTGATTTGAAAATAAGACTAGAGAAAGGAGATGGGTTAGGTAAGCTCTGCAAGCACAGAGAAATATGGAGGAGCTGGCAGGCATCTATTCCCTGAATAGCTCTCTGATATAAGGTTCCTGTCCACAATAAGAAGCGCAATTAAGTGTTTGTCAACTCTTAAAAAGTCACCATTAAAATAAAATAATACCTATATATGTTTCTGGCAACTCCAAAGGCATTTCTTCATGTGGCACTTCCTGCCCAACAGCTTGAGCAAGATATAGTCGCCTAAAAACAAATAAGAAAAGTAGTCTGTCAGTCAGCAAATATTGTACCACCTGCTCAGTAGTGTCTTATCTCTCTGCTGGGTGCTGGAGACACAGATGAAAAAGGCGCATCAGGCCCAGTGGGGTGGCAGATAGGCTTACAGTGTTTGATGGTGATGGTTTGTACCATGGTGGGTAATTATGTGAGGAGCATAGTGTCAGGAGTGCCACGGGTCAAAGAGAAGCAGCACCGGATTTAGCCTTAGGAGGTAAGGAAAGGTTTCCAGGAGGAGATGAAACCTGCGTTGAGTCTTGAAACACCAGGGGCTGTTTGCCAGGGAAGAGCTTGGGGTGAGGGGAGGGCATCCCATAATTAGGAAATAACAGGCTTTAAGTCCCAGAAATGAGAGTGATCGTGACACCAGTTACGTCACTGTTGCAGGGAATCCAGATGAGGAATGGGATGGGATTTGAGATAAAAAGAGAAAGCAGTAGGAATCCAAGATGACACCTAGGTTCTGGCTCTCGCTGAGCGGCGTGTTCCAGCTACAAGCCTGGTGAGTTTGCGTCTGCTGTTGCTACTCTGCACTGCAGAGGCCAGTGGAATTTTTCAGTCAGAAGACATGATACCTTGAAAGCTCTCTACAGCATTGCCATGAAGTTTGCCTGAAGCTATATAGCATGAAGCAAGTGCCCCTGGCAGATGCGCCAGCCACACTTCGTGCTTAGCAACTCAGCAACCAGAGTGAATCCCCTGGATTACAGGCTGTCAATTACTTAAAGACCACGAAGGAAGTGTTACCTGAGATGCTTAAAGCTCCAGCAAATAATGTAACTACATTCAATATTTATATCTTAAAACCTTCTTAAGAGTTAACTTAGTGAAGCTCTGGTCTGCAGGTCTGAGGCCACAGAGTTCTCTTCTTTCCTGGTTTTACTCTTTTGAATAACTAAGATCTTACTAAACGCCATAACCTTCTGAAGTCTGGCTTCTCTCTTAATCATTAGTTTATTGTCACTTTTGTACCACCACAGGGCAGCAACACTTGTTATAGAAAATATTTTACAGAACGTTATCATATGAAACTAGCGTTAGATTTGAGGTACTGGTCCACCTAGCCTCAGCTTTGCGGCATGGGAGTCCCTGGACAGTCACCTCTAGCTTATTCAGCTCATCTAATGTATCAGACAAATACTGTGATGTTCTATGGGAGTCAGGAAGGAAAGAAGTTTGGGGAGCTCTGGATGGGAAATACAGTAACTCTATTAGGTAGAATACCCCATTCTTCATCCAAATAGGGAAGTTTTTACATGTTTACTGGGTACTGTTCATGTCTATTTCTCACCCTACCAGAATATACAGGACTAAATTCTCAACAAAGAGGTGGAAAGGGCAGTTACCATAAATTACACAGTATGTGTTAACATTTCTTTGACTTGAAAATGGACACACGAAAAGCTCCTGAACTTTCCCTTCTGGATAAGCATTGTAACAGATAATTGAAGGTTTACACATTTCTCTGTTTCTTTATTCGGGTCTTTCTAAGATGTCCTAAACACTTGTCGGGGCTTCCCTGGTGGCGCAGTGGTTGAGAATCTGCCTGCCAATGCAGGGGACACGGGTTCGAGCCCTGGTCTGGGAAGATCCCACATGCCGCGGAGCAACTGGGCCCGTGAGCCACAACTACTGAGCCTGCGCGTCTGGAGCCTGTGCTCTGCAACAAGAGAGGCCGCGACAGTGAGAGTCCCGCGCACCGCGATGAAGAGTGGCCCCCACTTGCCACAACTAGAGAAAGCCCTCGCACAGAAACGAAGACCCAACACAGCCAAAAATAAATAAATAAATAAATTTTTTAAAAAAATAACTTTTTACAGATACAAATGTTAAAAAAAAATACTTTCTAGATATGTAATGACTCTCACCTGGGTATTTTGAGATCCACAAGTCTGCAGTTGAACAGCTGATCAATAAGCACCAAATTTTCTCCTTCCAGCTCATGAATAGCATGTTCCAGTTCTTCCACTTCCTTCCTGTGATTTGCGATCTATTCTCAGGAAAAGAGAGTGGGTGTTAGTACTTATGGACTTAGTTCTATCTAGTCCTCTGTAAAAAACTCAACTTTTAAAAGTGCATTTGTGGTACTTCCCTGCTGGTGCAGTGGTTAAGAATCCACCTGCCAATGCAGGAGACACGGGTTTGAGCCCTGGTCCAGGAATATCATCCCACATGCCGTGGAGCAACTAAGCCCGTGCACCACAACTACTGAGCCCGCCAGCCACAACTACTGAAGCCTGCGTGCCTAGAGCCCGTGCTCTGCAACAAGAGAAGCCACCGCAATGAGAAGCCCACGCACCACAATGAAGAGTAGCCCCCACTTGCCGCAAATAGAGAAAGCCCGTGCAACAACGAAGACCCAACAGCGGCCAAAAATGAATAAATAAATTAATTTTTTTAAGTGCATTTGCCTGAGGGGAAGATCTATCCTGTATTATTTATTACTGGGTTTGCTCTAAGAAGGAACAGGTGGGACTTTTTTCCTGGTCATTTGCAGAACTTGGTTGCATGATTAGGGAGTTATTACTGAATGGCAGGAGCAGTCCTTTCCTACTCTTCAGAAACATCACTGGATTTAATCTGAGCTGGAGGCAGAGATAAATAAGAAAATAAGACTAATTTATCACTCTGGTGTTAGTAGCTAAATGAGGCTCTATCTAAGGTTAATTATAAACAACATAATGAAAACTAATAACACTGGGAAAAAATCTTTATTATGGCATTTAAAAAAGAGAAGTACAGGCCTAGGAGCCCTTTCTCTCAGCCTCTATAGGACAATTATATTCTCTCTTGAGTGTGCTGGAGTCATTCCGAGAAACATCAGAGAGATGAAATGTTGTTCATTCATTCATGTAATTGTACTGTATGCCTACTATGAGTCAAAAACTATAAGTACACTTTGGGAACAAAGGATCAATAAGATACAATAACCTTCAAGGATCTCTTTGTTTAATGGGCAAGAGTGATAGCAACAGAAAATAGTGTGATAAAATCATAATGGAAGCCATCCAGGGACTGTGGGAGAGATAGAGGTTCACCCTATGTCCACCAGGTGTGAGGGGGTACGGGGGAGTTAATGGAAGAGATGACCTCTCTTCTGGATCCTGAAGGCCAAGTAGAGATTCTCTAGCAGACAAGAGAGGATATATTCTAGGCAGAAGGAGCCACATGGATAAAGGCACATGTGCCTTCTATCCACATTTTGGTGTGGATAGAAATAAAATGGGAATGGGGAGAAGTAGAAGAACTGGACAAGTAGGGGAGCCAAGGAATGCTAAAGAGTCTGATTTCTATCTCGCAGGTGATGGAAGGTCCTTCGTAGACATAGCAGGCTTAACGTTTACTGAAGAAATGTGGCTAACTCAAACATGAGCAAAATTTGCTGGTTCTGTTGATAGAGTTCCCATCAGTCTTTTAAAATGTATTTTGATAACTTTTGTCTAAAGAAGGCTTGATTGTGGGAAGAATATATAGAAGAATGTGACTAGATAGAATCCCCACCTTCCCTCTCTGCCCCTCAAAACAGCATGAGCTGGATTGAGAGGTGCTCATGTGGAGAAGTCAGGCCAGTAGAAGAATTAGAAATAAGACAATAAAATAGAAAGTGATCGGCTGGTGAGAATGATAAACTGGAAAAAGTAACGTGTCTCCAGGGAATATGATGAAATAAAGGCACAGGGCAGGGGTTTCGATTCAGTATCTCTTGTTAGGAGTTGCCAAGAGCATAAATGAGATGAGTACTTAGAAAAAGATGACTAACATTTTTGATTTGTAGTTGAAATTATTGTATTTTGGAATCTGGAAGCACTCAGTATATTACCAGATGGATATCCCTTTCACATAAGTCATTTATTAAATGCTTGAATTATTACCATGGGTAAGGCTCTGTCCTAGAGGTAGACGGATACAAAATCCAATAAAGTGTGGCTCCTTCCCTCAAAAGAGGGAACAAGTATACAAACCAGTGAACGAATATACAAATAATTATAATATAAAACAGTACCAGTGTCATAGAAAAGGCTCAAATATTGCTGCCGGCTTAGAGATGGAAAGAAAAGCATATATTATTTACCAGCCTTAAACAATTTCACAAAACCATTTAAGTCCATAATTCTACATTACAGAGCTAGGTGTTGGTGCTTTAGGATCTCATGTTTTTAAGAGATGATCAGCTTGATTACAAGCCTGAATGCCTTAAGGAAAAGTTTATAATTTTCAGATGTCAAAGGATGAGAAAAAATTCATAGTTAGAGGTTGTAAAAGAAGGAATTAATAGAATGTGTGACTAAGGGTTTGGTATACTTGGGAGGCAGCACACACAATTCTTGGTCTCCTGCCAAAGCTGGGAATGAGGGCCCATTTGGGGAGTTAAGTCCAATCTTTCAAGCTATGGATATCCTGTGACATCACCTACCCCTGTAGAGTGCTAAGTAAAGTTCTCATCAATTGCTATCTCCCTCCCAGTCTTTTGAAATGTTAGGAAAATGAAAACTAGTTCCTTTTTATAGCCATATAAATACCTTTAGTTTCTGGGGTAAGAAAGTATAAAGAAGGAAGTAGAAGACCTCTTTTCCTTCCCTGCCCCTGCTTCTCCCCAGATACCCAAGAAATGTACTTAAGAAATTGGGCAAGATAATTTAGTTAAAACTATTATAAGTCAGGGACCTAGGATCCTGAATAAAATGCGTGCTCTTGAAATTTTCCCCTGCAAGATCCAAGTTAGCTTTATGCCTCCTCATGTTTGAAACTCTGATTGCTAACCTCTTTGAATCCCTTTGCCTAGTTTTTCCAGCTTTCCATTTGTTATTAGTCCAGGTTATTTGGAAATTTGAATTTTCTTCATTTTCCTAATAAGCATGCTAAATAAAACCAGATAATAAAAGTCATGCAATGGGACATCTCATTCTTCCCAGAGATGTCAGTTTTTGGTTATTGTTGAAAGATAGTTAAATGGAGAAATATTTGGGGGAGTTCCACTGTTAAATATCCCTTGTTACTCATTCTAAGCCTTCCTCAAAGAAATTAATTGACATACATTGTTCTATTTCCAGGCAATTTTCAATTATTGTGATAGTACTTATAACCAAAACTGGTTTTAATTAATTTTGTGAGTAAATTTAATGACATCAAAAATGAATATTTATTGAAATAAAGAGAAATTAAATATATTGAATTATATGATTTGTTCTTTATTAGTGAGCTCTTTTTGCTCATGATTCAGTTAAACTTGACATTTTTTCTGTCTTTTGTTTCCACTGAATTATGAGAATTAAAAAATAAAACAAAACAAAATGTAATTTGTGGCTTTAGTAGGAAGGACCAAGGCACAAAATGGCCTTTCTTTTCAGTCGAATATAAACTTTGGTAGTTATTTTCTCTGAACCTAACATCTATGATATCTTATAAAATTTAAGGTTTGAATTGTTAAATTATTATCAGTAGGATCATACTGTTATATTTAATAAAAGTATAAGAACCAAGTTTCTCCCTAATATTCTTTAACTACTGAGCTCACCTTGAGTTTTTTAAATTAATACTTATTTTTTAAAATTGAGGATTCATCTTGATTAGTTTTGGAAATAGTATGGATTCCTACTCACCATGACTTTATAAAGGCAATTTCAAGATAATTGTCAATATCATAGAAAGCATAATTGATTTTTAAATTCTTTTGTTTCCTAGACTAACCAACTCTTTTCAGTCAAATGGGAGCAAGGAAAATGGAAAAGAAGCTGATGGTAACATTTTTACCTCGGGTGTCTGAGCAGATGGCAAAAAAAGAAATGAAGGAAAAGAATATCTAAGAAGAAATTTAATGAATTATGCTTCAGGTATGTTGAGTTTGAAGTGCCTTTGCGAAATCTATGTGGAAATATTATTCCACATAGATTATTGAATTGTGTGAGCTGTTTGTATATTTTGCAAATTAAGCCCTTGTTGGTCACATCTTTTGCAAATATTTTCTCCCAGTCTGTAGGTTGTCTTTTCTTTTTGTTTGTGGTTTCCCTTGCTGTGCGAAAGCTTATACGCTTGATTAGATCTCATTTGTTCATTTTGCTTTTATTTCTAGTACCTTGGGAGACTGACATAAGAAAACATTGCTATGATTTATGTTAGAGAATGTTTTGCCTGTGTTCTCTTCTAGTGTTATGGTGTCTTGTCTTAATATTTAAGTCTTTAAGCCATTTCGAGTTTTGTGTGTGTGTGTGTGTATGGTGTGAGGGTGTGTTCTAACTTCACTGATTTACATGCAGCTGTCCAGCTTTCCCAACACCACTTGCTGAAGAGACTGTCTTTTCCCCATTGTACATTCTTGCCTCCTTTGTTGAAGATTAATTGTCCATAGGTGTGTAGGTTTATTTCTGGACTCTCTTTTCTGTTCCATTGATCCACAGGTCTGTTTTTGTGCCAATACCACACTGTTTTGATTACTGTAGATTTGTAGTATTTTCTGAAGTCTGGGAGGGTTATGCCTCCTGCTATGTTCTTTTTCCTCAGGATTGCTTTGGCAATTCTGGGTCTTTTATGTTTCCATATAAATTTTAGGATTATTTGTTCTGGTTCTGTGAAAAATGTCATGCGTAATTCAATAAGGATTGCATTAAGTCTGTAGATTGTTTTGGGTGGTATGGCCATTTTAACAATATTAATTCTTCCAATCTAAGAGCATGAGGTATCTTTCCATTTCTTTGAATCATCTTCAGTTTCCTGTATTAATGTTTTGTAGTTCTCAGCATATGTCTTTCACCTCCTTGATGAGGTTTATTCCTAAGTATTTTATTTCTATTTTTTGGTGCAATTTTAAAAGGGATTGTTTGTTTGCATTCCCTTTCTGATATTTCATTGTTAGTGTAAAGAAATACAACCCATTTCTGTATGTTGATCTTGTATCCTGCTACCTTGCTGAATTCATTTGTCAGTTCTAGTAGTTTTTGTGTGGAGTCTTTAGGGTTTTCTATATATAGTATCATGTCATCTGCATATAATGACAACTTTACCTCTTCCCTACCAATTTGAATACCTAAAGAGGCAATTTAAAACAGCAGAGAATTAAGTTAAAATGATCCTTAAACCTTGCTCCCATCACCCATGAGGAAGTAGGGTCCAGAGGAAGGCCAGATCAGTTTTAGGACATAAAGAAGCTTTGCACACTTGAGTATGTTGTATGAATTGTAACACCAAAAATGATTTGTTTGTTATTGAGATTATTTATGGTGTTCATTGAGTAACAACTTGTAATAAGATTAGGACTCCACTTGAATTTCATTTTACCTCAGTCAGTCATGGTTCCATGCTTTTCCCATGACTTCAGCTCATAAATAAAAGTCATTTCCAGTTCAAAAAAAATGAGAAAGAAGAAATTGGTTTTGTTTCTAAAAATTCCACTTACCTCTTTTTTGAGCCAGTCATTCTCCCAGATCTCTCGATAGCTGCCCTTGTCAATGAACCTTATAGCATTCTAAAAAAAAAAAAATTTTTTTTCCGTATTAAAGAAGAGCTGCCACATAGCATTTAAGAGTTTTAGCAGTGGGGATACACAATCAACTTATCTGATCATTTAAAATTATGTTTTGCAATTACTTTGGAAATATACCTAAAAACTTTTGGTGCAGTTGTTCTTTCTTTATTATCCTATTGTATTGTTTTTGCTGATTTACATTGCCTAACACAGGTGATTGAGAGAACTGGACAATGGATGTCCATTCAATTTGACCTCTATTGTGACTGAACCTGACTGCCGTGGTGAAATCAGTCATTAATTGATCTGCTCTACAGTTAAGATGGTTAAACTGCAGTGATCAAACTTCCTTCAAGTTTATGGTCACAGACATAATTCAACATATAGCAAAGGCATGAATAGATTATATAACTACCTTTTTAATTTGAAAGATTTCTGCATGTCAATAATAACAATATACATACTTACAAACCTAACAGCCAGTAGTTTCAGGGTAGCAGGCTGTAGCTAGATAGTCTCCTGGAGAAAGGCATTTTAGACAAAGCAAACAGGAAAATCCTTATTTTATCAGTAGGATCTTAAAATGCAAATTCATATTCAGTTACTAGGATATTTATAGTTTCACCCAAAGGAACTTTATAATGGATGACAGATTCTAGTTATATGTGAGGTACTTTTATATGGATACCATGCTACAAACGCAGGAACTGAAAGACATAACCACAAGAAGAAAAACTAAGAAAAATATTCTGGTTCGTAGACATGGATTGAAATAATTTAAAACTATGTTAACAGTAAATTTGTGTAAGTCTTTAAAGTAGGAAGATGTGCAATAAATTTCTTTTCTTTAAATCATGGTAATTGACCTAAGAGTGAACCTCCATTTCCTAGGAACCAGGAATTTTTATACTTCAGCTCCAACTGATAAGTCTAAAGTTTATTTGAACATAGAATTTTGTTTGAACAAAAGTAGGAAGTCACTCATAATTGAATTTAGTTGACTAATGGCTTAATTCACTAACAATAGAGTAGTGTTTTCAGCTTTGGCTACACATTAGAATCTCCTGGATATTTTGAAAAATCCAAAAGCCCAGGCAACATCCCAGGCCAATTACCTGAGCACCTCTGTGGGTGGGACCCAGGACCCACCTGGGTTAAACAAATTTCTCAGGTGACTCCAATAAGCAGCCAAGGTTTCACAAAAGTAGTAGATTTTAGAAGTTAACACATAAGATGGCCCGAGAAAATGAGGAAAATTCGTTCACGTGTGTGGGTGTTTCGCAGTATGTGGAAAAGAAAATGTACAATGTAATGATTAAGAGTAATGATCTGAAGAAGCTATCTTAACTCTCTATTCTGCCACATGCTCTGGGCAAGTTACAAAGTTCCTCTGTGCCTCTGTCTTTTCATTAGCAAGTCTTCCCCTTAACAGGATTGTTGAGAGACTTTAATGTAAAATGTTAGGAACAGTATTGAGAACAGTCTTCATTATATATTGAATGTACATACTGAGAGCATATCTGATCTACATATGCATTTTTAATCGTCTTAACTATGATCAGATTACTTAATTGTTGATTTCACCATTTAATCATATTCAGTAACAAAGGGTCTGAATTGCATGGGCAGACAAAACCATTGGTCAGTTCTCCACATCCTCTGTATTTGTGTTAATCAGTAAAATCATGCAGTAGAATAGTAATACTGAAAGAACAATTGAACCAACAGGGAAGCAACAAACAGGAGCAACTGAAATTCAGTGAAGAAAAGACCAGATGTTTATGACTCTGAAGAAAGGATGTTCCAGATAAAGAGATAATCCCAGCAGGGACCTCACTGATTTAGGAGATAGTCTGGAGACAGGAGAAGGGCAGTGAAAAGGAAAGAAAGTCAGGCATTTGGGGCAAAACAAAGATTAGAAAACATGAATTGGAAATTACATCTCAAACATTTTTTATATCCCCAATTTTTAAAGCTCCAGCAATGTAAAATGTACTCTCTCAGGTTTGCATATGTAAGAAAGTACTTTTTAGACAAATTATATTTCATCCTATAATTCATCCAAAATCTAATTTAATAATTTGTTGTAGCCATTATTATTATACTTAAAAATAACTGAATATTAATTTACTGAGCTCTTGCTCTTATGAGGCACTATCAATCCTCATACTGTTCGTTAAAGGTAAATATTATTATTGTCCCCTTTTTACAGATTAGGAAACCGAAGCCCAGAAAAGTCAAGTATAAATTCAGTTTATACACCCAGTAAGTGGTAGAACTGTGATTTAAACTAAACTGCCTAATTTCAAAACACAAGTTTCTGACTGTTATAATACACCATGAGAAAGAAATGGGTGGGGTGAGCTTTGTTTTTTAAGGAAATTGAAATACAGACAGGAGACGGCTTGGGGTGGGTGAAATACGTGAAGGGGATTAAGAGGTACAAACCTCCAATTATAAAATAAATAAGCCATGGGATGTAATGTACAGCATAAGGAATATGGTCAATAATAACTTTGTATGGAGACAGATGGTTACGAGACTTATCATGGTGATCATTTCATAACGTATGCAAATGTCAAATCCCTAGGTAGTACACCTGAAACTAACATTTCAGTTAAAATTTTGAAATTCTGTGTGAGAAGAATTATACATCAACTACATTTCAGTTAAAATTTTGAAATTCTGTGTGAGAAGAATAAAAATCTACAATCAGAGAAGAGAAAGAAAGAAAATTAAGATATACCTCTGTGGCCCATTCCTTCTTTTGGTTCAGTTGCAACAAAGTTTCTCTGATTATTCTCTTTCTGTCATCTTCCAGGGTGATTTTATACTGTTCTTTAAAAAGAAAATTAGAAACCTTAAGATCCTAGGTAAAACTATGAAGTTATACATTTTATCTTCCATGATCCCCACCTCTCCTTTCTATGTACTTTTTCTTTTCCGAATTTTCAAGGTACATTCTTACTGAAGCATCTAGTACCTCCAATTAGAAGAAATGCTCCAATAATTTACTAACACCTTAATGTGAATTCGTTTACGATGATATCTGTCTCATGAATAGTCATAGTTTTAAAGGATTGTCTCTCCAAAGGGAGAATTTCTAACACTTTAGTACCTATGCAGCTGTCTACCTTTCATATCACACAACTTCTGATTCTACCACATAAATATGAAGAGATTTGATTACACACTTGAGTGGCATCCTGTACATCTAACTCCTTCTAACTAATTTTCCAGTATTCTTGGCATGCGTTTCCTGGGGCAGGAAAGACAGAATAAGGAGAGAGAGTAGGAGAGGGCCTGTGAAAGTCAGTAGACCTGTTCTGAGTTGGGTTCAGAGCAAGAAGGGAGAGCAGAGATGAAGTGCAGGATTCTCTGTCCTCTCCAGATTTTCTTACATCATAAATGTCAGAATTGAGAGAGCAAAGGATCATAAAATTGGGGGCCTTGAAAGATGCTGAGAGATCATATAATCAACACTTCTGTTTAAGGAAAGCAAGATGTAGTGACATGAAGGTTGCTTTAGAGAGTGGAGAGAAATAAAGCTGGATAAATGAGTCCAGTTTGTTCATTCTTTTATGCAACAGATCATCAAGTTCTTTTGATGTGCATGACACTATTTAAGGCACTGGGAATATTGCCAAATAAGAGACAAAACTCCTGCCCTTATGACATGTACATCCTAATGGGGAAGCGAATGAATAATATTTCAGGTGGTGAGGTGTGTGATGAAGAAAAACTAAAATTCTCTGTTTTAGATACGGTGATCAGAGAAAGCTTTTTTGAGGAGGTAACATCTGAGCAAAGACTGAATACCGTGAGGTAGTCAGCAGTGTGCAACAGGAGGGCAGTGTACCCTCCAAATCTAAGAATCGCCAAAGTTAGTTGTGCTTTATGATAACATCTATGTTATGTGTCCCCATTAGATGTGTTTTATTTATAACATTTGAAGCATAATTACTTGGAAGTCAGAAAGTATCTTCCCATACAAATGATGTTGACAATTACGGTTGCTAGATTTCTGGACTGGTCCACAGAGACCCATTTAACTTATTCTATAATGAAACAATAGTATTGTACTGAGAGTGTTGTGGAACGTAGCTGCCATTTAGGACATTGTTTCGAAGGGAGAAATTTCTTCACAGACCAAGTCAACCAAAGCCAACTCTAAGAACTCTCGAGGATCTTAGGCTACAGGGAAGGAGATCTGCAGGTCTGATCTTTCCATAGTTTAGAGCCAATCTAAGGCTCTGGAAAGCGGGGCAGGGAGCTAGGCAGGAGTTATTCAGCCCTCCTTGTATTTTGTACTGGCATAACTGCTTCCCCTATTCAAGGAAAACTCTGAGCAGAGTGTAAAAACTTCTCTTCCATATCTTTCTATTACCGCAGTCCCTGGAACACAACAGATACTGAAAAACATTTTGAGGAAGATGAACTTTGGCCAACTGCAAGTCTTTGGCGGGCAGTGATCTGAGCCTTCAGCGCAAGGATAGAAGCAGCAAACAATGGCAACTTTGGTGAGGGAAAGGGAGAGTCGAAGGAGGGAAGGGGCGAGCTCTCCCAGGCTGTGGAGTGGCCAGAAAGGGGGCTGGGAACCATCAGTTTCTACCTCCAGTTCCAGAGCTGGAACAAGAGCGGCTGAGGTTTATAAACAAGAGTTCATTGGGTTTTGGGTCTAGTCTAACTTGACATCTGGAGAATAAGAAAATGGACATCTTCATTATTCCAACCTACACATATATATGTATATATATATGGATATGTATATATATGGATATGTGTATGTATGTATGTGTGTGTATATCTATCTATCTGTATAAAACCTGTATTTTTCTTAATCCCATTCAAAGTAATTGCTTGAATGTTTTAATCATTCCAATCTCATTTCTGATGGATTTTTTTTTTTTTTTCAGTTCAGGATCTAGTCCACTAGACTAATGCTAGATATTTATTTAAAATTTCTACCACACAAAATACAACAATCTAAAAGTTGCAATGCATCAGGAGTTGAGCTATAAAATGGATTTTACATTCTTAGCATCTGAAAGAAAACATAAAAACTGGAGCTTGATAACATTACATATTAATTATTTGCTATAAATCATAAAAAATAGATTACCAAATATGCTCTGGGTAAAGTTGTAGCTCTCCCTCATGTTAATACTGAAAAAGCGATAATAACATCCAACTCTGTTCCGAATTCCACATACAACTCTATGGACTGTTTTTCTTCTTAAAAGCAGAGTAGCTAGCACAGGGAGGATGTGAAAATCTCCCTGTTATCCTTTGAAATTCAGATGATGCTTCAGGTAGCAACTATTAACCACACATTTGTGAATACGGCCATAGAAACTGGGAGCATGTAAAAGTCTCCTTCCCAGAAAAGTCTGGAACACTGCAAATGGGAGTTTGGGAGATTATGACTTTGTGCCTTTAGACTCCTGGCTGCTCAGATGCCTGGTCTAATATGGTCACTTCTCAGAAGCTGACCACACTTCTCAGAGGCTGAGGCTTGCTTTGCATTGTTCTCTTTTCCTTGTTGTGTGTGGCTCTGCTTTGGTCTGCTCCACAGCTTTTTAGGAGTCTGTTCACTCTTCACACACTTCCGGGTGTCACACAGCTTCACTGTGCCAGTGGCTTCCTTTGAGCCCCTTCTGGAGAAAACCAAGCAAGGGCAGGTGGCAACACTGGCCATGTAGCAGTTTCTTCAGGCAGAGTGCGTGTTAGAGAGCCCTCCCTACCTCGCTGCATCACAGAGCTGGGAGGACTATTTGAAGCATAAGGGTTTGGGTCTGACACACACCTGTGTTCAAATCCCATTTCCACTGCTTACTAAATCTGTGAGTTTAGTTAAGGCAATTAACTTCTCCGGGCCTCTGTTTCCTCATCTTTAAACTGGGCACAATGGTATCCAACTCAAAGGAACTTGTACGAGTTGGATGAGATAAGGTATAGAAAAGCAGGCGCTGGGACTGTGAGTTCTTTTGGAGAACTCTGAGGTACTCTCACTTTACAGGCGAGGAAACTAGCATTCAAAGAGGTGGACATGAACCCAAGTCTTTTAACTCACTGTTAGTGTACAAAGAAACTTTTCAGGATCCCTGTCCCATGCACCTGGTCAAGGACAAAAGTAAAAACTCTCTCTCTGTGACTCTAATATCTGATGATTTGTAATAACCCCATACTTTCTCTGCTCCTGGGCCTAATCTAAGGTTCCCTTTCCTTTTATTGAGAGAAAGAGCCTGTCTTGGTTATATCAGTGACTGTGTCTTCTACACCCTATATCCCAACATCTCCTTCTAGCTGAAGTTCAGGGAAGCAGCTCCAGGTTCTTCCTCCCCATGCCCCCAGGGCTCAGGGTGGCTACTGAATAAGATAGGTTGGACAGCTGACCAAAGAATGGTTTGTGCTGGGGCCAACTGATGACCCATGAGGAGGCATGGACGAAGGTCTTTTGTCACCTTTGACTAGGTAGGTGATCACACCGGCTCTTTTCAGAATCTGGGTTGGAGAATACTGCAAGAATTGGTCTGTGGGAAGCAAGAAGAGAATGGGGACAGGCACAAAGAGCAAAGCAGAGGTGCCACAAGAGGGACAGTCACAGACCATGAGTGACAAATGTGGGGAGGAGCATCCCTAGAGCCACCACTGATCTGGTGGCCTTCTGTTTCCATCTTCAGTCCTCCCATTCTTCAGTACAAGTGTTACACCCAACAAACATGATCATGGGACATCAAGAAACCTTATTTTTCTCTCTTGCCTTTAAAATTCATACTGTGAGGCTAGTAGCTCTCTCTCAGTAAGATACATGGCAATCCTATGACTTTTCTGGTTCCTTTGTGATAACAAAATATCTCCCAATCAGAAATTAATATGCCTAGTCTTTATAATAATCAAAATTTTAAGCTTCATTTAAAGTTATGGCTGTTCCCTTCCTAGCTTAAACCTACTACCATTTCCTCTGACTTGAACTTCTATGCCTTCTCCCTCAGGGCTGAAGGAGAGCCTGGAAAGGGACAGGAAAGCACTCACTTGACTGATACTATCTCAAGCTGATGTCCCATTTTCTGGGTCTAGTTAGCATTTAAGATTGATTCTCCTCTCTTGGGGGTGGTTTTTGTAGGTTCTCTGGAGGACCGCCTCCCCCATTGCTAGTTATATTTCACCTGCGTGCCCTTGATACAGGGGAAATACTGCCCTTGGAGGTTGGCTAATGACTCTTCCTTTGGCCTCTGGGTCTCAGTTTCCTCCTCCCCGCCACATAGACAGGCTCCTGTTTCTCTTTGGGGGCACCGTGGCCCCTCTCATCAGCCCTCAGGCAAGATTTAATAGGACTGCGTACCAGCTGTCTTTCACAACCGGTCCACAGGAAACACTCCTTCTCGCTTTGCCACAACAAACTCTGGAAGTGCAGGCTGCTACAGGCTGAAAGTCTCTGACCCCCAACCCGCGCCCGCCCCAGATTCTTAGGTTGAAACCTAATCCCCAATGTACTGGTATTTGGGTGGTCGTTAGGTCAGGAGAGTGGAACCCTCATGCACGGAATTAGTGCCCTTATGATAGAGACCCCAGAGAGTTGCCTCGCCCTTTCACTACGTGAGGTTACAGGAAAAATAAGGCATCGATGAAGCAGGAAGCAAGTTCTCACTGGGCACCGAATCTGTCAGTGACTTGATCTTGACTTCCCAGCCTCCATAACTGTGAGAAATAAATTTCTGTCATTTGTAAGACACCCAGTCTATGGTACTTTGTTATAGAGGCCTGAATGGACGAAGACACAGGCCCAGCCCATGCCTACCTCTTCTTTGCTCTAATGTTAGAACAGTTTCCTAGTCAGCCACTTATCCCTTAGATTTTTTTCAGGGATGAGTCATAAACTAGATCTCCAGGTCCCCCCTGCCGCCTGCTGCTGCCCCAAACTGCAGGGAGCACATGTTGAACAATCTGAAGAATTTCCTTTAAAGACCTTCCGACTGGATTTGAGATGAAGGAGGAATTACCCTTCACCTGCCCCTTTGGGGGACGGTGTACAACTTACAGCACACCAAGAGCTCTTTCCAAAAACTGTCTCCTTATTTCCAACAGTCTTTTCATGGCTTCCTCAACTTCTTTTATAGACTGGAATTCAGTGGTTGAAGGTGTGAAACCAGTTTTCTGCCTCATCATATTGGCAGTCTGCCTGGCGATATCTCACTTTACTTTGAAATGTGGGATCCATTATATAGACAACCAGGTTTAAACTGAGACTAAAGAAGTTTCATTTTAATATCATGTTTCGCTTACAATAAAGCCCCTTTCTACCAAAGTACTTGTTCCTTGCAATTAAAGCAGTCTAGCTATAACACAGACTCCATGACCATGGGTGTGGGAAGAGAATTCTAGAAAAGTCATGGAAGAGGGTGAGAGGTGAGGGGAAGAGATGGTGGTAGTAAGACTTCGGATAAATTAATTTAGCCGTTCCACTCATATTCATTGTGCCCAGTTAGTGGCCCCCGAGGTGCTTTAATCACCCGCAGGCAGAATTGCTGCTGCATGGTTAGGAGAAGTGCCTAAAACTAATGGCAAATAAGATAAGCCCATAACAGCCATTATCCCATGACACTTAAAACAGGCTATATGCCAAGGCTCAACCAGCAGCATATAAACGTTATTACCCCCACCCCAAAGTTGGATTCAATAGCATGAAATTTTCAGCTCAAAGAAATCATCCAAATTTCTAATCAGGATAACGGGTTAAGTTTATGTGAGAAGATCACTCTTCCTACTTAAAAACCATAAAATAAAGGAATGCTGTAAAAATTATTTTAAAAATTTTAAGCATACTAGAACAGTAACAGTGTTTAAAGTGTGGTATTGTTGCACAAATACATAGATCCATGGAACAGAATAGAAAAGACAGAAAGAGATCCAAATACATATGGGAAATGAAAGTATGATAAAGTTAGCATTTTGGATCATAGGGTAAAAATGGCTTATTTAATAGGTGATGTTGGGACAACTGGAAAGCCATCTGGCAAAAAATAAGGTTGGTTTCCTATCTCACACACAAAAAATCAGAGATTAAATATAAAAATGAAGCCATAAAAAATTCTAGAAGAAAAATATTAGAGAATGTATTTGTAATATCAGAAATCATAAAATCAAAGTGATAAATTGGGCACTATAAAACTATAAAATTTCCTCATACAAACACTGCCTAAACAAAAGACTAATGACAAATGGGAAAAATATTTGCATCTTATATCACAGTTAAAGAGCTAATTTCCTTGAAATGTAAAGAGCTCCACAGCACGATAGAAAGATGGGCAAAGATGGGAACAGAAAGGAAATTCATGTGGTTCTTGAACTTATAAAAAGATATTCACTGTTGCTTATAGTAAGAGAAATGGAAATGAAAGCTACAATGAGATACCATTTTCTACCTATAAGACTGGCAAGGAACAAAGAGGTGGATCACAACCCCTGTTGTTGAAGAACTGGGAAAACAGACATCCTCACCACCACCAGCCGGAGTACACTTGGTACAACCTCTACGCAGGTCCATGCCTATCAGTGTAAAAATGAATAGGCTGTTTGGGCCAGCCATTTCCCTTTAGAGATACACATAACTGAAATTACATACATACAAGGGTATTCATCGTAGTAAAATGAGATTGTGTAAGGATAGTCACTGCAGTATTATTTGTAATAGTAAAAGATGGGAAACAACCTAAATGCTTATGAGTAGGGGACTTTAAAAAATTATGGTACAACAAAACAGAGTAGCCATTGGGAGGATGAGGAAGTATTAATATGTACTCATCTATAAGGATGTCCATATTGTTACCTGAAAGAGCAAGTGAAAAATTGCATCTGTGGCATTGCTGCTGTGACATATATGTACATACTGAAACATGCATGGACTCTTTCTGAAAGGTTACATAAGGAACTGGTAATAGTGTTTTTATCTAGAGAAAGGATTTCAGTGGCTGGGGGATTGACAGGGGTAGGAGGGTGCCACTCTTACTTTCTTCTTTTGGGGAGGACAACCTTTTGAAAAATTGTAACTGATTTGGCGCCAAATTTACACTCTCACTGTGGTACAGAGGCCCTGAGCTGAGAAACTTACATAAAAATTGGTCTAGAAGCAGACTGACTGGACAGAGCCTCAGAGGGGATAGTGGGAATGACCCCGAATGAACGCTCCTTCCACAAAACAGGGTACCATTACCAGCTGGGCTCAGAACTGCCATCCACCCACAGTGTTCTTTCAGGCCAGATTTCTCCTGTTTGTTCTACCCTAGGACTTTCTTTTCTGTCTGGAGTTCTTTTAAGCCACTATGCCTCAGTGACAGACAGCTGGCCGGCCTCATGGTTCCCAGCTCTGATCCTGGTAAGATTCATTATGCCGGAGGCCGCCCTGCTCCATACCCTCTTCACTTCCTGTCTCATGTTTGTTCTCCAGTTTTTTTCCCCGACTGCAACTTAGCATTTACTTGGCCATTTTTCTATAACGATTCTGGTTGTCCAGGCTGGCTGGGTTGCCTCAGCTTGGCTCAGGTGAATTCCTTCTCTAATATAACCCCTTCCCAGGACCCTCCCACCTTGGTGGAATTGGCCCAGACCCAGGTGTGAGAGCAGGCAGACACCCACCCACTGAATGAAGCTTCTTTCTCAAAGTCGGTTGCAGGGTTTCTACACACACAGAGGCACACACTCCCATCCCTTTACTCCCCCTTCTCAGTTCCATAGGTGGTCCTGGGATAGTTTCTTTACTTCCTCCCTTCACCTAATCCTTAGCCACATAATGCTTGTGCTGACAGCTGAGAGTAACGGATGATTCAGGGGGTACCCGTTTCTTTCTTCCACCAAATGTCTGCCCCTGAAAGATTTTCTTATTGAATCTGAACCAGCTTTCTTGCAACTGACCTGACATTTTCTCAGCATTCTCCTTAACTCTGTTGATGTCATTCTGTAAGGAGGTAATGAGTTTAGCATGTTGTTCACTCCCTACATTCTTGTACTCCTCCCAATATTCTTTCTCACTGAGTTTCTCAAGAAATAGTTTCTCAGCGTTATTTATTTGGATGCGCATATCTGTTGAAAGAAAATCGAGACTTTCTGTCATTTCTGTTGTCCTTGCAACCATTATATGTTGCAATCTGTTTTTGTGAAGTTAAGGTCTGATATGAAAATATCAACTCATAAATACTATTTTATATCTATAATGTAGGGAAATCTAAACTATTCAAACTATTGTTTATCTATCCCTCATGATTCAAAATCTAAGTAAAATTAAACTTCCAATTATAAAGTAGTTGTGTGGTTTGGGGCTGTGATTGAGAGCTGTAACATGCAATCAACCTATATGCCTAGGGACCCACAAGCTTAAATTATGCCTGTGATAGCTTGATAAGTGTCCTGTTTTGTACAATATATTATGTCGCATATACTTTTTATTAGTAAATTGTCATTTTTCTGGTCAGTATGTGTCTGGGCAAAGTGATTTCAACTTAACATCCTTCCACAGTACTTGGCGACCATTTTTGTAGGTAAGTTGTTTGATTCCATCATTTAAAGTTCAATTGTTTGAGCTTCCCTTGTGTGAAATGATAGCATGTGATAGTCATAATAACCTGCCTTCCCCTAACCCCACACAGTGAGACTTCAGAGTGAAAGATAAGTTCCCCAGTTACGTGTGTACAAATATGGAGCCCTCTCAATCATATAAACTTTCAGCTTGCCCTGGTGTGCTTCCTACACATGATATTCTACTCAGTCTTCAGGCTGAGTATCATGCTGCTGAATATTCTGGAAAAGGCAGCATTACAAAAAGCCAGGTCCAATGAACTGAATGGCTATTTGGAGCACTACCACGCACCATCTTGTCTGAGAGCCCCTGAGGGCAAGACCCCATCTTATTCATCTCTGTCAGCCCAGCACTTAGCACAGAGTCTGGCAATTAGTTGGTGCTCAATCGATGTTTATGACTGAAGCATTCCATTCAGGCCAGAGAGGTGTTCTTCAGTCCAAAGGTCCAGAAGCACTCCAGACATGTCTTTTTCCAAGACATGATAATATATTTTTAATATATATATTTTAATATATACTTTATATATTAAGAAAATAAGATAATACATTTTAAACTCCCTTAACAAATGGTACTTGTTATTATCATTAAACAATTAAGAACACTGCACCCCAGTGATCAGCTGTCCTCCGATGTGGGCAGACTGTTGCTGTCTCAGCCCTGCACCATGTTCAGTCTTTGTGGGGAGGGTTGATTGATGTCACTGAAGCTTTTGAAAGAGAGGGGCGTGTAGTGGCTGTTGCTCTACTTTCCCAGAACCCCTCTCTCCCTTCCCTTCTAGTAACACGTCTCCTGTCCCTTGTCATATAAGTAGACCAATTACAGTCGCCCCTTCTCCTTGCTTTAGGGATTGGTCCAGGGCTGAGCAGGTGCCCCAAGCTGGGCAAATGCTTGGAGTCCTCCCCTAGAAATATTTTCACTGGTGGAAAACATGTCTCTTTTGTCTCCACTTTGAGGTTATAAGGATGTAAGTTCAGAGGTGTCTCTGGTCAGAATTCCAGCCTCACGGGGAGAACATTCTCAGAAAAAGGAGACAACTTTCAGGGGGAAGGCAGAGAGAGACGATGCGTAAGAGGAGCAGCGGGTGGAGGGGGAGGAGGTGGGAAAAAAGAGGGAGGGTGATGCAGGGGGAGAGAGGGGGGCAAGAGAGGGAAATTAACAAAAAGACGCTGAGATCTGACAGCATGTGAGGCTCTGGGTCCAGGTCAGTAGCACCCTGCCTTTTCTGTTCGGTTACATGAAAAAATTAACATCTTCTTTATGCTTGGACTAGTTTGGATTGGATTTTTATCCTTGCAACTGAAAGAGTCCTAAGTAAACATTGGAAGAAGGGAGTTTTGTCAGCACTTCTCAAACTTTACTGTGCACAGGACTCCCCTAGGATCCCGTCCAAATGCAGATTCTGATTCAGCAGGTCCGGATGGGGGTCTGAGGTTCAGTACTATCACAAGCTGCCAGGTGAAGCTCCAGCTGCTGCTCCACGGACCAAACTGAGTTGAAAGTGACTGACTACCCGGTACAAAATGTCACTGCCTCGGGGATCCTTTGTAGACACATCTGTTCTCACACATCTGTTCTCTCTTTCCCTCTCTTCCTCAGCATCTGTGGGCTTCTTTCTTCCTTGGACCACTGCACATGCCCAGCCCTCCTGTTCTTAGTCACACAGCACGTCCCCAGTCTTGTATGACACACATACCCCAGCACTCAGCCCAAACCACAGACAGGCACACCTTAACTAACCGGGCCCATTCCCTTTGAAGGCAGTTTAGTGAGCACATCTAAGTATCTGCTTTGGTCTCACACCCATCTCAAGGGTGTGACTTCTTAAAGCATTCCTTCCGAACATAAGCAGAACTCTCCTAGACAGGAGCCCGACCAGAAAATACGTCTACCACCTCATGGCATCACTGTTGTTCACACAGGGACTTGGCAGGAGGAGGCTTACGGGAAAGTTTTAGAGACCCCCTAAAAATGAAATTTGTTGATTGACCTTTGGCGTTGGTAACTATTTCTTTCAAAATAACAAATATCTACAAAGGGAATGCCTGCTCTGCGCCAAGCACTTGGGTAAGGAGGCTCTCTAAAATGCTTGGGGAAACTCAAGAAAATCTAGTCCCTTTTTTCGCCTCTCAGATTCTAATACTGCTTCCTGAGAGCATTCAAGTCTCTCCCTTGTTTTCCAGCTTCCTAGCTGACATGGTATTTATAGAGGTTCTGGCAAAAGTTTTAGAAATCTGAGCAGCAAGTTTATAATGAAGGGATAGGATTTTTTTTTTTTTTTTTTTTTGCGGTCCGCGGGCCACTCCCTGTTGTGGCCTCTCCCGTTGTGGAGAACAGGCTCAGGACGCGCAGGCTCAGCGGCCATGGCTCACGGGCCCAGCCGCTCCGCGGCACGTGGGATCCTCCCGGACCGGGGCGCGAACCCGTGTCCCCCGCATCGGCAGGCGGACTCTCAACCACTGCGCCACCAGGGAAGCCCTGTCTTTGTTTTTGATCACTGCCCTTACTTCTCCTCCTCGCTTGGCTTCAGTATCTCCACCCACTTTATTTCCCTCTCTCGTCCACTTACTTATATGTGTTTGTGGTTGTGGTGATGATGTCATTTGAAATGTGTTCACAGCCTTTTGAACATATTAGGAGACAAAAGCATTAATACATTCAAGAAATAACTTCACACAGCTTTATGACAATTTTCTAAGTTTCTAAATCACCTTTCAAGTTTTGTTCCTGGTCTCTTACAAACTTCCATTTTTCCTTCATTGCTTTTTCAACTTCCTCTCTTGTTACAACTGCTAATCTCTCTGACTTCTCCTCACTCAGTTCCTTTAGTAGGTTCCTTACGTGCCAAATCTGTTCATCCTTTAAGCGTTTATTCTGTCATGAATATCAACAGTTGTTAATTACATCTGCTGAAGTATTTCCATTGATTTCCCGCAAATAGAGTTACACATTGAGGTTTGCAAAATGAGAGATATTTAATGAAATAAGTTATCCAATAACATGTCTAAAGAACATATGGAAGACTCAAAATTAAAGCCATCAATACAGTAATCACTGAAGAGAAAGTTACGTATTAAAACCTGCGTTATTAATCTGCCAGTCTATCACCCTATCATAGGAGCAGTGAACATTAAAATTAGATTTCAGAGGTCAGTTTCTTCAACTTCCACAAACACCTTGCTTTTCTAGGAAACATCGTTCATTTAGTCAATATTTATGGGGCATCTACCATATGCCAGCTAGTCTTCTAGACACTAGGAATATATCAGTGAACAAAATAGACAAAAGTACTGCTCTTGTGGAATTTACATTAGTCTTTGTTTTTCTCACAAATGACCCTAATTCTCTTGTTCTGCGGTGATGGTTACTATTTCAGTACTCCACATCTGAAGTATGGACTGTGTTCCTTTTGTGAATATCCCACTATGTTTCCAAGTTTCTTACTTAATCAACTTAGAGTTTATTCTTGCCCTTGCTAGCTTAGTATGTATATGTAGAGATATTTTACTGTGTGTGAACTTAATACCTTTTCCTTGTAATTTTCTTAGCCTCCCTTTAAGTTTTACTCCTCACTTCCCTGGTGTCTCTCCTTCAATTTCTTAAACCTAATAAAATGCATATACTTAAAATATTCTAATAATTCTTTTAAAAATTATTTTTCCTATAATTTAACATTCTCTTTACTATAGCTTTTTCAACATTATATTTTATTTCTGATATTCATGTCTTTTATCCTCTTAACCTACATGGATACTCTACTGTAAGAGTATTTTCTTTCCCAAAATTTATTCTCTGGGCCAGTGCTTCACAAACTTCAATGTGTATACCCAACACTTGGGGACCTTGTTAAAATGCAGATTCTGGTTCAGTAAGTTTGGTATGAAGCCTGCAATTCTGCACTTCTGATAAGCTCCAGGTGATGCCAAGCCTGCTGGCCCACAACCCACAGTTCGGGTAGCAAACTTCTTTCAGGTAACCCAAATATCTGTGATTTATTGATAGTGCCACGGCCTACTAAAACTCAATTCTTTAACACTTAATCCAACAAACTTTAAAGTTGAGGGCTGAAAAATCTGATTTCTAGTTTAATAAACTCCCTGGACAGAATTATGTAAGCTTAGTGCTCTTTAGGTTATTCCACAGGCTGCGTGACATTATTGCCATTTCAGTGCATTAGAATTTTAATTTAAAACTTTGATAAGCTGAAAGAAAGCAACAGACAATTAACTTTATGATGATGCTCAGTATTGAGAAATACAGGCCAAAAAAAAAAAAAGACTGGGACTGGACAAGCTTTGAGTGATTAAAAAAAAAATGGAAATAAAGATTAAAAAGAGACGGGCTTCCCTGGTGGCGCAGTGGTTGAGAGTCCGCCTGCCAGTGCAGGGGACATGGGTTCGTGCCCCGGTCCGGGAAGATCCCACATGCCGCGGAGCGGCTGGGCCCATGAGCCATGGCCGCTGAGCCTGCGCGTCCGGAGCCTGTGCTCCGCAACGGAAGAGGCCACAACAGTGAGAGGCCCGCGTACCGCACACACACACACAAAAGGTTAAAAAGATATGATATTCAAAATTTGGTGGTTTAACTTCTCTTTTGTTTGTAATATTTTAAAGTATCATAATTCTGTCTCTGAAGAATTTTTAGTACCGAAGGGTTCATAATATATCTGAAAACTGAATCTCTTTCCTTCTGTGTAAAATCTTATTGGGCGTGATGTAAGCAGGAA